CTGCGGGAGGAGGAGGCGGAGGAGGAGGAGGAGGAGGAGGAGGAGGAGGAGGAGGAGGAGGAGGGGGAGGAGGAGGAGGAGGAGGGGAGGGAGGAAGAGGAGAGAGAGGAGGAGGAGGAGGTAGGAGGAGGAGGAGGAGGAGGAGGAGGAGGAGGAGAGGAGGAGGAGGAGAGGAGGAGGAGGGAGGGAAGGAGAGGAGTGAGGGAGGAGCGAGGAGAGAGGAAAGGGGAGGAGGAGGAGGAGGAGGAGGAGGAGGAGGAGGAGGTGGTGGTTTTCGCCCCGGCTCCATGCTTGGTGGTCCCCGGGGCCCGCTCACGGGCCCCAGGGGCCGACATCGAGGGAGAGCGCCCGGACTGAGAACATCGTGTCGTCGGCGATCCTCGACCTACACCTTCCGCCCCTTCCGTGCGGCAGGTGCCGCGCTGCCGCGGCCGCAGCGGCGGCCGTCGGCGGCGGCGGCCGCCGTCGAGGTCGCGGCGGCCGCCGCGGCCGCATGGCAGCGGCACCTTCCGCGCGGAAGCTTGAGGATAATTATCGTGTTGGGAGGGAGGAGTTGGGAGGACGAAGGGTGTGAGCCATAGCATCCGGATGAAATGAAGGATACCGGGCAATGATACCTTCACTTCTCCCAACCCCATCCTCCCAACCCGATGAGTGTCGTCCTGGAAGGCGCGTGAGGTGCAGGTCGAGGGTGGGAACACGCCGTGCGGTGACGTCTCGGTCGTGCGGCCCCGGAGACCCCCTGAGGCCCGCGACGTCCTCGGAGAACGGCCCGAGTCCCCAGACTGTGCGGCCACCCCGAATCCCCACCGACTCACCACAGGGTGTGATCACTGCGCCTCTGGGGACCCCCGCGGAGGAACCGACAGGCAGAAGCACAAGCTTTCGGAGCTCCGCGCGGCAGTTCTTGATCACGGCCGGACCCTCCCTCGACCCCCCCCCTCTGGCACGCGGAGTGCAGCGACGGAGGCGCAGCCAGGGGGCCCCGCGGAGATCCAAGAAATCCCCGCGGGCCTCCGCAAGTTGGTGCTTACACAGATTTGCCATCTCTGACCCGAGCCTCCAGCTTCTCCTCTCGGGGGCGTCCAGTAGGGGGGCGGCGTCCAGGAGGGGGGTCGCGAATCGTGGCCCGAGGCATGTGCACAGCCGGAGGGGGGGGGGCCAGGGAACGCATCGATTCGAGGAGGAGATCGACTACAGAATGGCTGTACCCCAAAACTGATTTGCCCGCCGAATCTACGAATAATTTGCGACAGTTCTATGTACTTGTTGGAGATTCGATGGGCAAGCATCAACTTTGTTGTAAGTCAGCTCTCTAGTCGATCTCCTACTCGATTATGTAAGAAGAGGGGAGCATGAAGTCTGAGGAGACATCGCGGCCCCGGCCGTGATTGCCCCACCTGCCCTGGTTCCGAAGCCGCCGTGCGTTGGGCGATCTCGTGAGCACGTCGGAGATTCCACCACCCCTCAGGGCGTAGGTGGCTTAAAGAACTCTGTCTCCTTTCTGCCAAACCCTCCTTCCCCTGCTCGGGGGAAGGGTTTACCCCCCCCGGTCCCCTCCCCTGGGCCTGGGAGGGGGGGGCCAGAGGGGTCAGAGCGTCCAAGATGGCCCGAGATGGCTCCAAGAGGGTCTCAGAGTGCCCACGCCGGTCTCCGAGATCGCGCAAGATACCTCAAGACGGCTCAAGATAGCCTCCGACAAACATCCAAGAGGCCTCAAGACGGCCCCAAGACGGTTTCAAGTACCCTCCGGGCCCCCCACGGACCCCCCCAAGAGGCCAACATGGCTCCCAAACCAAAGGAAAATCAATGTGTGTTTGCCTTCTAGCCTTTTCGCTTCCTCTTGAGGCCTTACGATGGCGCCAAGACGGCCCAAGAGAACCCCAAGGGGGGCCCAAGATGGCCCCAAGAGGGCCTCAAGACGCCATGTGTGAGCCTCCCAGGGGGGAGGCCTGATCAAGGCAACTCGCCTGGCGATCTGCTTATGGATGGGCTGGTCGGGATTTTTTTTGGTCTGCGGGCTCGCGAAGCAGGTCGAACGCCGTCCGAAGACTGGTCGGGCCGCGACAAGGCAGCAAGAAAAGAGAGGCAAGCGAAGCGAGCGCGCGGGCAGCCACTCAGAAGAAGAGCCAGAAACGAAACTCCCAACCCTCCTCCTCTTCTTCCTCCTCCTCAGGCACGGCATATATCCGAAGTCAGAGCAGTCACCACCCTTCGGCGGCAACTCGTGGGAGCCTCCAGTACCATCTTGCTCGCTGCTGCGAATCGACGCTCATCGACGCTAGTCGGCACTACATCGACGCTGATTGACGCTACTAGTCGACGCTAGAGATCGGCGCAGTCTCGTCGATTACCCAGCGCTCATCGACGCCACCGCACTCCGAAGACGGAGTTACAGTTGGGGCTCGGTCACAAGAAACCCTCCACAAGAAGCCCAAGCCTTAAACCCCAGGATGTCCATTGATTTGTGTTATACGGACGTCACGCTTTCACTCGTTCAACAATCGAACCCCTATAAAAACCTGGGTGCCCTTAAATGACGCAGGGCGTTTCTTGGCATGGGCCCCCACTGTACGAGGGCACACGAAGCTACCCTGCTCTGATGCCGCATCCTCCCCCCTCCCGGACGCCCCCGATCCTCCTGGCTCTGGCGCAGGTTGCTGGGCTCCGCCTCCGCAGCGAGGCGAGGAGCCCGGCGCGTCGGCGTCGGCGTCGTCATTGTCGTCGTCGTCGTCGTCGTCGTCGTCGTCTTTGTCTTCGTCGGGGTCGTCGTCGTCGTTGTCGGTGTCGTCGTCGTCTTTGTCTTCGTCGGCGTCGGCGTCGTCGGCGTCGTCGGCGTCGTCGGCGTCGTCGTCGTCCTCGTCGGAGTCGTCGTCGTCGTCGTCGCTGGCGTCGGCGTCGTCTTTGTCCTCGTCCGCGTCGGCGTCGGCGTCGGCGGCGTCGTCGTCGGCGTCCTCGTCTTCGTCTTCGTCTTCGTCGGCGTCGTCGTCGGCGTCGTCGGCGTCGTCGCCGTCGTCGGCGTCGGCGTCCGCCTCGGGCGCCTTCGGCGGGGCGGCGGCCCCCTCGCCCGCCTGCTCCGCCTCCGCCGCCGGGCGCGCGGCCGCCTGCTCGGCGGCCTCCCCCTGGCCACGAGCGGCGGCGACGAGCGGCGACGCCGCCGACGACGCCGACGACGACGACGCCGACGACGACGCCGCCGCCGACGGCGACGCCGACGAAGACAAAGACGACGACACCGCCGACGCCGACGCCGACGACGACGTCAACAAAGACAACGACGAAGACAACGACGACGACGACGGCGAAGACTGAAGACAAAGACGAAGACCAAGACGACGACGACGACGACGACGACGAAGACAACAACGTTGACACGATCACGACGGTGATCAGCCCCTGAGGGCCCTTCCCAGGGGCCGTCAAAGAACTTCTCAGGATGAGAAAACCCCGTCCCGGGGGAAAGGGTCTGGCCTTCAGGGAACCCCGTGCGGAAAAAAACTGGACAACGCGCGTCTGGGTCCGCATCCGCGCCCTCGCGATCTGGCTCCCGGGGCGCGCTCCCGCGGATACGCAACCGCACAAATACGTTCCGCGCGGGGCATCCGCGAAAGACGCGGGGCGGCCCAAGGGCCCAGCCCGCGAGGCCGCGGATGCGAGCATGCCTTTCGCCCGCGACCTCGGTGAGCTTGCTCATGAGCAGCTTCAGCTGGCGCTCGAGCTCGGCGACCTTTGCGGGGACAGCAAGCGCCCACAGCCACATCGAGGACACGCCCTGGGGGATGTCTTAGTATTGCGCATGCCAACAATTGCCAGAACACCGAAACCGGCTTAGCAGTAGTACTTGTTGTGGTCGATGTGGCGTCCCAGGACTTCCAGGACGGCTGAATCGACCACAACACGCAACCAAGGTGTTCATGTCGAGGTCGGCGGGCGCTTCCCTGAGTGACCCTCCCGAACAAAGCCACTTGGTTGTGATGCTGGCTCTGGGGAACCCAAAGGGCACCGATACCGCCACTCCGCGGACCTCTCCCGGGGTGCCTTCTGACCAGAATTCCCGGGCGAAAGGGCACCGATACCGCCACTCCGCGGACCTCTCCCGGGGTGCCTTCCGACCAGAATTCCGGGGCGAATCCAGCGGTGGCGACGAGGGCAGCCCCAGGAAGCCCGAGAAGGGGCACACAGAGAAGGTAGCGGTGTGGCTGAATCTCGCGAGGAGGGCCTGCGTGGCCCTACCCTACGTGATTCCTTGTGCGCCCTTGCGCAGGCATCTACGCGGAGGGGGGGGGAGGGCAAGACTTCGGGACGATCCCCGCTTCTGTTTCTGGATGCGAGGGCAAACGGCTAGGGGGCCCAACAATATACACCACCACCACCACCTCCCTCCCCCCCTCCCTCTCGCTGGAAAGAGGAGAGAGGAGGAACCGACGTGGTGGTGCATATTATTTGGGCCCCCAACGGTGATGTCGGTCTGCCGGTGCCGCTGCAGCGGGCGCAGTGCAGTGGCTGCCTTCTTCCTCCCCCGAGGCTCCGCCAGCCCCGGGGGAGGGAGAGAGCGAGAGCGAGGACGAGACAAAGAAAGGAGGGAGCGAAAGAGAGAGGGAGAGAGGGAGGAGGAGTAGGCGGAGGAGGAGGAGGGAGGAGGAGGAGGAGGAGGAGGAGGGGGAGGAGGAGGAGGAGGGGGAGGAGGAGGAGGAGGAGGGAGGAGGAGGAGGAGGAGGAGGAGGAGGAGGAGGAGGAGGAGGAGGCGCGAGGACTAGGGGGGGAAGAGGAGGAGGAGAGCAGGAGGAGGAGGGGAGGGGGAGGAGGAGGGCCTTGTCGCCGGGCCTCTGCGCCTCCCTCGGCCCCGGCGCCACGGGCTCGGCGGGCGCCGCCTCGGAGGGGCTCTCCTCGGCGGCCGCGGGGCGCGGCCGCGGGGCGCGGGCCGCGGGCTCCGCGCTCCCAGGAGGGGAGGAGGCTGCAGCCGCGGCCTCCCCGCCGTCGCGGGGGGAAGCCGACGAGGGGGGCGCAGGAGGACGTGCTGAGCCGCCGCCGCGCCTGCAGCGGTCGGCGTGCGCCTCCTTCTCCTCCTCCTCCTCCTCCTCATCATCCTCTCCTCCTTGCTCATCCTCTCTCCTCCTCCTCCTCCTCCTCCTCCTCCTCCTCCTCCTCCTCCTCCGCGTCGGGCCCTTTTCTCGCCCTCCCCGGCGCAGACGTGTGGCCAGGTCCCTGCGTTTTCTGGCCTTCCCAGCAGACGAAGGGCGTCCCGCAGGTCTGTGGCCAGGTCCCAAACACTACAAAAACGCCTGGGAAAAGGGGGCGGAGGGTCCATAGACCTCCTCCCGGCCCCCCCCCCCCCCCAAAGGCCCTCCCCCTCCGCGCCCGCCCGAGCGCGGTGGCGGAACCGCGCGGCAGAGCTGCTGATGTTGGAGGCGCACAGCCAACACGAGCAAGCAAACACAAACCTCTGATAGTATATATCGCTTCCCGGCCGGCGTGGCCAGGGCGCGCCCGCCGCGGAGCCCACACACGTCTGCTGCGAGCTTTCCCCGAGCGTGCGCACCGCCCTGGTGGGCCGCCGCGCACACCGTAGGAGCACGGTCGGCCTTGATTTTGGACAGGACACGCGAGGGGACACAAGGCCCTTCCGAGGGCCACAGCGCCACAGGAGCGTAAGAAAAGGCACGCGTCGCGAGGCACAGGACGCAAAGGTATACCCTTGATCTGGCAGGGTCGGCCTACTAATCTCCAGGCCGACTGTATGCCTGGGTAGCGCGGGAAGGCATGGCGTCAACAGAGTGTCTCGGGGGCTCCGCGCGGGCTTCTCGGATCGGTGCTGCACCCCCCGTGCCCTGCGCGTTCGGCGCGCCGGGAGCCGGCGCCTAATTAAGCGCCGCCCGAGAGGCCCGGTGCCGATCTGCGAGGTCCGCGCGGGCCTCTGGGACGTATGATGCTCGTGCCGCTCCGTGTGCGGAGACATCGGCCTGGGCTCGGCGATGCGTCGGCGAGGCCCCCGATAGCGCAGCCGCACCATGCTGGGCGGGGTGGGCCATCGGGCCCCCTATCGGCGATCGAGGGTCGGGGTCGGCCAAGAGGGGGGCGTCCAAGAGGGGGCGGCGCAAATCATGGCCAGCGGCACGTGCGCGGCCTAAGGGGGGCCAGGGAACGCATTGAAACAAGAAGAGGCGCCATGACATCTGGGGAGACATCATTTCCCCAGCCATGATATCCCCTCCCCCCCGTCATTGCCCCCTCTTGGCCGCCCCCGAAAGTAGACGAGCGCGTTCCACCACTCGCAAAATCACTACTCGCAGATGGCCTGGATCCGCCGCGGGGGATCTACGATAAACTGCATCGAAGCAGACGTGTGTGTTTCTCGGACGTTTGCGGGTAGGCACTTTGCGAGTAGTGGAACGCGTTCGGCGAGGAAGGGGCGATTGCGGGGTCGAAACGCTCCCCCCCTGCGCCGTTGCCGCTTGCACGCTCGAGCTGGTGGCCCGCGACGAGACGAAGCCCGTGCAGCAGCCACCCCCGACGCCGGACGCGCCCCGGGCCCCCGGGGGCACGCTCGGGGGGGCAGGGCGCGGCGGCGCGCGCAGCGCCGCAAGGGAACACCGGGAGGGAGCCGTTGCGTCGAGTCGGGCATGTCCCTCAATTCGGGAGCGGCCGGGAGGAGGGCGTCCAAGAAGGGCGGTGCAAATCGTGGCCGGCGGCATGTGCGCGGCCTGGGGGGGGCCGCCACGGACGAAAAGAGGCGCCAGGAAATCTGGGGAAATGCCATGGCCCACGCCATGATATCCACACGCACCGGATCATCACCACCCTTTTTGCCGCCCCCGATCTGTAGGGGGAAGAACTATCCAAACATGGCCAAACAAAAACCCATTAATTATAGGGGGGACACGCCCGAACTAACCGTTGCCCCTCCTCCTGAACCCATCCTGGAGCCTATAGCGGATCCTCGTCGCCTCTGGTTGGTCTTCGGGCCACAGCGCGGGCCTCCGGCGGCCGGCTTCGGTGCGACACGGGCACCCTCAGAAGGCCCCCGGCGAGGCGCACCCGCTGCGGAAGGTACACCGAAGCCGGAAAAGCTACCAGGGCCGACGAAGCTGCTCGAAAGCCTCGAGCCCCGACGTTTCTGCGACTCCTCAGGGGGTGTGGTTTGCAACCCGCACCTTGGGGGCGCGGGCGGTGACCTCGAGAGAGTTTTCCGCCGCGCCCCGGGGAGGCCCGCCGAGGGCAGCGTGCTGCCCCCTGAACGTCGGCGCCGATCGCAAGTCACACCCCAACGCAACCACTCGATGATCCTCAAGACGTGTCAACGCCGACGTGCGCTCGTCCATAGCAGCCCTTCAATGCTTCGCAGGCGGTGCACCTGAGGACGGCCAGCACGGGACGCGTTCTATCCCAGAGTCTCATCACTGTTACCTTTTTTCAACGTTGTGCTCACGTTGGCCTGTTTATCGGTAGATGTTGGGTCCACCAGTGGATGTCGGCCCTTTACCAGTGCCGCATTCACTGCTAGACGTGAATACCGGTGGATGTAGCGAGGCTTCGGGTGGATGTCAATTTTACCGGTGAATCTTGTCCACGACGCCAATGCCATTCACGGCGGAAAAAAACGCTGCAGTGCGGGAGGCAAGTCTGCGTACAGCCTACGGCGAGATCCTGGCCCCCTCGCCCCCTCCGCGCGCCGTTTCTCGTGAATTGCCCACCCTTCCCCGACCCCGTCGACAAATAATTTGACCACAGCAACTCACCCTTAGCTCAAGGCTTCTATGCACACGCGCACACACACACACGCGCGCTTCTACACATGTATATATGTTTTTGTATCTAAAATTCTGTGACTACCCAGCTGCGTACGGCAAGTCCCGCCACCGTGGAGTTACTGGTTTCTTGTATGCTCGTCGGGATAATAGGCCTCTCGGGGGCCTGTTGGAGGCAGTTTGCAAGGTTTTTAGGGGCCGTCTGGGGGCCTCTTCAGGGGCTTCATGTTTTGTTTCTGGGTGGCAGTCTTGGTTTCTTGGAGGCCTTTGGGAGCCCCCCAGGGTATCGCGAGGTCTCTGCAAGGTCTTTGCAAAAGGGGTCTCTGCGCGTTTACGTGTCATGTGCCCGGGAACCTCGAGTGTCGCCACGCGTTCCGAACTAGCGCGCATTGCCGTTCATCGGCGCCCTTTGGCGTAGGCCACTGGGGGCGCGCGAGGAGCTCGGAGAGCCCCACCTATTGCGGCGGGCGCCTCTTCCACCCAGAAAACAAAACGGCGCGTCGTGGAACTAAACGCACGCGCGCGCATGTGCAGACACATGCATACATGGGACTAAACGCACACACACATATGTATATATATATATATATAGATGTATACACAAAGAGAGAGGGACAAAAAAAGAAAAAAACGAGCGAGGGAGAGAGAACACACAAATGATAATTATATATATATATATAAATATATAGAGAGAGAGAGAGAGAGAGAGACAAACAGACAGAGGGAGAGAGAGAGAGAGAAACAAAAACATAGACAGACAGACGGCGAGAGAGAGAGAAAGAGAGAGAGAGAGAGAGAGAAAGAGAGAGAGAGAGAGAGAAATAACAAGAAATCGGAGAGAGAAACACATATGGAGTTATATATATATATATATATATATATTATCATACGCACCTCTCCGAAGGAGTAGAGCTCAGAGCCGATTGATTGAGGGCGGCGTCCGCGATTTTTCTGGCCGCTGCGCTAGGGACATCCTCGAAATTCTGAAAATCGGTGGCGCCCCTCATGCAAATCGTGACGTCAGGGTCCAAAAACACATGGGAATCTCAAATATTCGAACATAAAACCTTCAAGAACATTTCGGAATTTCAATGTTTTCGACCCCGATTCTCAGAGAATGGCGATTTCGCCTGAGACATCCTCCCAAAATCGAGGCCCGACGTACCTTCTGGTACCCCAGACCCCGCCTCCGAGCCTCTTGGGAGCCTCCTGGAACCTCCTGGGGCCTCCCAGGGCTTTCTGCACCTTCTGGTGCCCCAGACCCCGCCTCGGAGCCTCCTGGGGGTCTCCTGGAACCTCCTGGGGCCTCCTGGGGCCTCCTGGAGCCTCTTGGGGCCTCCCGGAGCCTCCTGGGGTCTTCCGAGGCCTCCCAAGGCCGCCCGGGGCCTCAAAACTACATGCGCACACAGAGACACAAATCACACCAAACAAATCACACGCTACACAAACAGAACACCCCCAACACCTGCAACGCACAGAAGACACACACAACACATAGCACACATCACACACATGCACACACACACGCACACACACACACAACACTCACAATCCCGGGGCCTCTTGGAGCCTCTTCCAGTATCCAAGTCGGGCCTCCTGAGGTTTCCTGGGGGGGCCGTGGTACACGCGTCGCACGGGTGAGGCAACCCCACTTGCGCTCGAGTGCGACGTCGATCTTAAATACTCCTGCGTTCACCCCCTGCCTCTTCCCCTTCTCTTAGGCGCGCCCTGGGGGCGCCGCCCCAGCTTACCCTTCTCCATCTCCGATCCTGCAGTCACGGTGTCTTCCTGCTTCGAACGCCCTTTCAGTAACTCGTAGAGCTTCCCTTAGCTATAGCTGCTGGAAGCTTAAGAGTAATTCCGGGGCGCTGGAGAGCTAGCTGGCAAGAAAAATCTCGACTGACCTTTTGGTGACTTTTGGTCGGTTGAAAATTTTGCTCTCGAAATTCAACCATTTGTTTGAGCTCTAGTATTTTTCCCGTGATATTCGATCTTATTCTCGCTCGCCGTCTTGATCACAGCTCGATCGGGTACCTTTTACTGCCAAAAAGCACACGGGCGGGATCGGCTGTTTCGAGTCATCTTGACACGCGTTGTCGGTATTTTGTACTTAACTCGAGCTGTAGGGCAGCTACAGAGCT